TGACTGGTGGGTTTGAACCACCAGTCTTCTGGTTAGCAGGTGTTGATTATCAGGATGATTCAAGGTACAATCTTAATGCCACCAAAATTTAACAGAATGGGTATTTATTGCTTTGTTGTATCCTCATACAACCATAAGTATCTTCAATTTAATGCATACCTGTTAATAATACACCTTTGTCTGTGTTTTCCTTGATCTGTCTCTTAATTCTTTGAAGATACCTAAATATAATTCTTTTGAATTCCTTATCAGGTCGTTCTAGTGCTGCATTTTCCTCAGGAATGTGTTTTGGGTCTGTATCCCGGTGACTTGTTTCTCCTGCTTTATCTTGTTTCTTTGTGAGGACTGTGATGCTCTGTTGTCTCCGAGGCATTGTGACGTTTTTGTGTTTATATTTAATTGGTGATTGTTTGTTGGAGTGACTTACCCACTATTTTCTTTGTTTTGTTTGTATGTTATCTACGCAAGCAGGGTACTGTGCTGCGCTCCTCTGTTCACTAGTTGGCAGCACTTATACACTCACCACCTGTCTCCTTTCCTGTTGTGAGCCTCTTGTATGTCCCTGCCAACCTTGGTAAACAGAGCCTATTCTTAGGTCCCTGGGATCCAAATGAGAATGCTGTCACTTTAAAGTTCAAAGTGGTTGCCACTTGTAAAGATAAAAATGGCTACACCCTCAGGCACTTTATTTATTTATTTATTTTTAACTTTTTTTGATTTAATAAAGTTTTATTTTTCAAAATGTACAGTTGGTTGGACCTGTTTATGCATCTTCACCAGCAGCGGGGGCATCTCCACCTTTGGTGTTTCTGGTATAAATTACTTGAGCTCTGTGTTTTGAAACCAACTTGATAAGTCCTTTACTAAGCAGCTCCTGAAGAGCTGCCTTGGCCAGGGAACCTCGAATCTTCAGTCTCTCAGAGACAACAGCTGGTATTATAAGTTTATAGTTGGGAACTTCCTTACAGAGTTTGTCATATGTGGCTTTGTCAAACAAGACCAAGTTATTGAGCTTGTCCCGAACTTTGCCTTTGGACCACTTCTTCTTTTTGGCCTTGCCTCCAGATTTGTTCACTGGGTCTTTGTCTTTCTTAGCCAACTTTCCGGCATCTTTCTTCTTCTTGTCATCCTTGGGTGGCATCGTTAAGCCAGAAGCGCAGATACCACAGCCACAGTGGTACTAAGATGTCGGACAAAAAGGAAGAGCAGCTGACCCTCAGTCACTTTAAATATCCAAAATGGCCACCGCTTGTAAACTTTCAAAATGTCTGTGCCCTCAGTCACTTTAAATATCCAAAATGGCTGCTTCTTGTAAATATTCAAAATGGCTGCACCCCCGATCACTTTAAATATCCAAAATGGCTGCCACGTATCAACAATCAAAATCACTGTGCTGTCCGGACAGCAGAAAGTCAACAGTTCAGGTTATTTCTTGCTGTTTCCCTTTCTAGTCATAGGCCACCAGCACAGTCATCCCTGCAGCACTTGGTGACCAGGGATGATCTTTAGGTCAATTCTCAGATCCCAGCACCACTTGGAAATATTCAGGCTGTTGGTCCCGTTAGAGTAGCTGACAGTCTGCAGCTTCGACTGTCTGTGTACTCACAGGTTTTTCCACTGGTTGGTGCCTAATCCACTTCTGTATAGTTCCTTTCAAAGCTCAGGGCTCCAGGATTATCTTCTTAATCTCTGTCAATTGGTTTTTCTTTTCTTTGTTGAAGAGGGTCTGTGTCACTTGTCTGCCTATTCCTCCATCTTACCGGAAGTCCAAAAAAATCACTTTTGTGGATACTTAGTGAACAGATGGTAGGAAGTAGAAGCAGGAGACTCTTTAGGTTATTCCGGTACTATCAGTGAGACATGCTAGTGGGACTTGGTCTAAGCCACATCAGTGGAGATACCAACCTGATTTACTAATGGATTGAGGGTAGGATGTCAGAGAAAGAAAGGAGTCAAGTAGGACTCCAGGAATTTTGGGTGGGGCAACTAGTAGAATGAAGTGGACACTTAGTTGAAATGAGTAAAAGTATAGCAGAAATAATTAGAACTTTGGTTTGGTAAGATGCCCATTAATCATCCAAGAGGAGATTTTGTGTATGTAGTTGGATACATGAATTTGGAATTCAGGGCAACAGTTGAAATTGTAGTTATAATTTGGGAACTGTTTGTAGAGATGGTAATTATTGCTATAGGACTGGATGATATCAGCAGGGGTGTATGCATAGGGAAGAGAAATACAGTTTAATGTTTATAAATGAAGAAGAGGGAAGGAAGAAGAGACTAGAGAAGTAAGACAATTCAGGTAGGAGGAGAAACAAGTGAAAGTGGTACCCATACTCCCTTGTGCTTTCTCTGGTCTGGCCCACACTAACTTTCTCTCTTTTTCATACATGCTAAAACTCCCTTTGACTCAGGGGCTCTGTGCTTCCTGTGAGCTCTGCCTGGAATGCTGTTCCCTTCAATCTTTGCACAAAACCTTTGTGTCTCAAGTTAAGTTCAAATTCTTTAGAAGTGTATTCTTTGACTCTGTGATTAGGCTGGGCTTTAGTAATAATATGTAATAATATGCTTCTCTGTAGCATTTACCATAGTGGAAACATACAATGTTGTACTTACTTAATATTTGCCTCCTCCAATACATTGTGTAAAGAGCTCCTCTGGCACAATGATTGGCTGCTAACCCAAAAGGTCAGTGGTTCAAACCCAAGAGCCATTCTGCGGGAGTAAGATGAGGCAGTTTGCTTCTGTAAAGATTACAGCCTTGGAAACCTTGTGGGGCAATTTTACCCTGTCCTTTTGTGTCTCTGTGGGTCAGAATCAACTCAATGGCAGTGGGTTTCTCTGAAATAGACTGTGTAAGCCTCAAGACTTGTCAGCTTAAGTACCACTGTACACTCAACATCTAGCACAATATATACAGTTGATATATAATAATGAGCATGATGAGAACATTTCAATGAATGATAGCAGAGTACAAGTTTGGCTTTTGTTAACATATTCATTCTGAACAGATAGAAGACAGTTGTTGTTGTTGTTACGTGCCGTTCAGTCGGACCTGACTCATAGTGACCGCTCCTTGGGTTTCCGAGGTGGTATCACTATGGAAGTAGATTGCCCAATCTTCCTTCTGAGGAGTGGCTGGTGGGTTTGAACTGCCAACCTTCTGGTTACCAGTCAAGTGCCTTAGGCACTACACTACCAGAGCTCCTTAGAAGACATTTAAGGAAAATAATTAAAACCATAATGAGTAAAGTATCAAAACTGTGAAAGCTTTATAATAGTTACAAATGGTATCTTACGTTGAGTAAACTAATATTGAATAAAGTAAAATTTGTAATATACTCTGATATCTCCTAATTAATTGTATGTAAAATTAGCTCAAAATTCTAATGTTAATGAGTCAAGTATAAAACTTCCTGCCTTTTCTTAAAAAGAGTTTTCCAAAGATGTCAATGTAGCATCACAGAATCCTTGATGACGGTAGAGGACATCTAATATAATAGTGATTATAACAAACACTTAGTGATGCTAAGTATTCCAGCAATATTCCAATTGTACTTTTATAAACTCTTCTTTCTAACAGTCCTATGTGATGGATATGTGCTATTACTGTTCCATTTTACAGATGCAAAATCTGAGTAACAGAAAGGTTCAATAGCTTCCCTGAATTAGGAAATGGCAGCGGAGCTGTGGTTTGTATTCAAGCGGTCTGATTACAGAGCCCATAATGTTCCCACCATCATCTCATTTAGCATTTTGCAGTTTTTGCAGAGATACCTCTATCTCTAGACAACTCTATTGTTGGATATCTTTAATTTTTTCCTTGTAATGGATGTAGTACCTAAGGCATTTCACTGCTCACGAGAAGACTGATGGTTTAAACCCGCCAGCCACTGAGCAATCTACTTCCATAGAGTGACTGCCTCAGAAACCGAAGGAGGGGTTGCTGTGAGTTGAATTGACTCAATGGCAATGAGTTTAGCTTGGTTTTTAATGGACAAAAATCTTCTTAGGAATTCCTCCCTTTGGTTTTGGGTCAGCCCTCTAGAAGGGCTAAAATCCAAATTCTTTCCAGGTCAGGCTGGGTATAAAGAAATAGTGATTACAGGTTTTTTAAAAAATTGCCTGGTCTAATTTCTGCTTTGCTTCAGATCAGTACTAACTAGTTTAATTTCTTCTTTCATGTAATAACCCTTGAAATAATAGAATCTGTCAGAGGTCACTCTCCTTCCGTACTCCTAGCCTAGAACACTGTTCTTGGACAAGCTATTTGACCTCTCTGAGACTCAATTTCCTTGTCTGTGATTACCGGTTACCAGTTGCTCTGGCCTCTGCTCATGGTGACCCCCGTGTGACAGAGTGGAATTACTCCAAAGGGTTTTCAGTGGCTGGTTTTCTGAAGCAGGTCTCCAGGCCTTTCTTCTGAGGTATCTCTGGGTGGACTTCAGCCCTTTTGTTAGCAGCATAGCACGTGGCCTGTTTGCACCACCCAGGAATGCCCATCAGTGATTAAGGGGTGATAATGTTTACTTACTAGGTTGACTTTTAAGATTAAATTAAAAGAATATAAGTATGCTAGGTATTCAAAGAGAAGTGGCTGTTCGATTATATTATCTTTGTTGTGTCTAAGGGTATGTATTTTTAGTATATTGTTTGTATATAACTATCTGAATTTGTTATCCTATTTCATATATAACTAAATTATCTCCTTTAAGCTTTCAAATGAAGGAAGTAACTCACACTGTCAAAATGACTTACCTTTAGGAAAACTTTTTTTTTGGTTTGTTTTTATTTTTAATGGTTCTTATTTGGCAGTGAGTTTTTTTTTTTTTTTTTAAATCGTTGCCTTAAATGAACTCTTTGATTTACAAGATCAAAGCTATATTCTTTGAAAGGTGTTGATTAACATTAAGAATTATATTTTCAAGTTTGTGAGCGTTGGTCTTTTCTGTTATGTATTTGTCTACTGTTAAAGAGGATAATCTTGTTTCTGTTCTCAGCATTGCAGGGGGTCGGCTACTCTCAGTGATAAAGATGCAGCTAATAAAAGGCCGGGACAGCAGGGAGCCTTTCTGTAAAGCAGCAGAGGAAGTTGCTCAGGATTTGGATTTGAGGATTAAAAATATTACCAATTCTCAACAAGGAGATGTAGCTCTTCACACTACTGACATTAGTCCTGTACGGGTAACGAGCTTTTTATTTCATCATCCTTCCCTTACAAAACATTATTTCTTCTGTTTATAGTAGAAATGGTTTGCTGTTGCTAGTTAGGTCAGAAGAATGTGTTTCCTGTGTTCTGAAAGGTTGCTAAAAATTTAGTATTATCAACACTATTGTGTAGGATTATGGGGGTTGCGCAATTTATTTCCACAGTGGTACCTCCTCAGAAACCCAAGGAAAGGTCAGTATGAGTTGGATCTGACTCAATGGCTGTCAGTTTTTTGTAAGTCACAAAAACGACAACAGCAAAATATAATGAACCCTAACTACAGTAGTATGGGGGAACTTGAGCCAGCAGGTTTTTAACCCTAGAACAGAATTTTGGAGTGTATGGTATAGTCCACTTACTGTGGTTTAATTATCTAAGTATCAAAAGACCTTTTTCACTAGGTATGATTATAATAGCCAGAATATAAAGAAAAACTATTTCTCAAATTTTATTTATTGATTGATTGATTTCAAAGCCCTTGGGGACTATTTTTAGCTGTTTTTCTAAAATAGTGCATGGGGAGGCAGAGGCGTCCTTTCTCTAGGGTGTTGCCTATGTATTTCTTACGTGTTAACAGCTCTTGTGATTACCTTGGGCCAAATGACAACCAGGTTATTGCTGTAAGAGCACAGATCAGGAATTGGCACAATTTCAAATAATTAAGGAACACCAATATTCCCCATTTCCTTGTTCTTCATTTTATTTTTTACCAAATCAGAAATGTTTGAAACTTTGAATAGTTGAAGGAAACATACAATCAAGTAATACTGAATGAAATTGCTATTAAACAATATGGAATTCTCTGGTACTAATGAAATATGTATTTTAAGGACCTGTTTATGATAAACAATTTGTTGTAATACCAGTGTAGCTTGCATTATAGTAGATCTGATCGCCTGAATCTGTCACATAGAGAAAGGAAGTGAGAACTGTGTTGATGAAAGCTAAGGACACTGGCACAGGTAGAGTTGATGTTGTTCCAGAAAGGGGAGCTTTGATACATAGGCACGGTGTGCGGCAACTGTATAAAGTAGGCCCTGTCATTGTCTTAGTTTTAGTAGTGAGTTTCACTGAAGCACTGAGGGGTTAAGCAGGTTCCTCACAGTTATGCACCATAACTGATAAATTGAAAGTGGACCCAGCCAGAAATGCCTTCCTTTTTCTTCACATCTCTTAGTTATTGATATTCTCCCTCCTTTGCACACATGTTAGATGTTTTCTTCTGGGGCATCTTCAGTTTGATATAACTTTTTGAGGAACCTTTATATTTACCCATATGTGTTCTTATGTTTTTGTCATTAGGTTCTGTTGAGTCGGCTCTGATTCATAGTGACCCTGTGTACAACAGAACAAAACACTGCCCCGTCCTATACCAGCATCACAATCTTTGCTATACGTGAGCCCATTGTTGTAGCCACTGTGTTAGTCCATCTCGTTGAGGGCCTTCCCCTTTTTCACTGACCCTCCACTTTACCAAGCATAATATTCTTCTCCAGGGAGTGGTCCCTTCTGACAACAAGACCAAAGTAGGTGAGAGGAAGTCTGTCCATTCTCACTTCCAGGGAACATTTCAGCTGCATTTCTTCTGGGACAGATTTGTTAGTTCTTCTGGAAGTCCATGGTACTTTCAGTATTCTTCACCATCACCACAGCTCAAAAGCATCAACTCTTCTTTGGTCTTCCTTATTCATTATCTAGCTTTTACAATGCATATGAGGAGATTGAAAATGCCATGGCTTGGGTTAGGTGCACCTTAGTCGTCAAAGAAAAACACCTTTGCTCTTCAGCACTGTAAAGAGGTCTTTTGCAGCAAATTTGCCCAGTGCATTATGATGTCTGATGTCCTGACTGCTCTTCCATTGGTGTTGATTGTGGAACCAAGTAATACAAAATCTTTGACAATTTCAACCTTTTCTCCATTTATCATGATGCTGCTTGTTGGTCCAGTTGTGAGCATTTTCATTGTCATTGTGTTGAGGTGTTATCCATACTGCACACTGTAGTCTTTAAATCTTCATCAGTAAATGCTTCAAATCATCTTCACTTTCAACAAGCAAGGTTGTGTCACCTGCATATCGCAGGTTGTTGATGAGTCTTCCTCCAAACCTGATGCTGCTGAAACCTGTCCACCGTGGGTAACTCTACTGGTATTTGAAATACCAGTGGCATAGCCTCCAGCCTCACAGCAACACACAATCCACCACAGTACGACAAACTGGCCAACAAGTGGGGATTTATTCTTATACTACTGAATATGTATGTCGCTTATTTCTTACTGTGCTCTAGACTTGAATATCTAGTTGATGACTAGAGATTTCTCGTTTGATGTCCCAGTGATAACTCAAATGTAAAATGTTCTCCTTATCCCCCTTTCCTCTTAGCCCCCTAAATGTGGTCTTCTTCCTATGTTCCTTCCTCAGTTACAGACATCATCATCTACCCGCATATTCATAATTTGAAAGTTAGGAACAGTTGCAGACTTTTCCCTTTCCCTTATTCCTCTATCTAGTCACTAAATTTCCAATTGTCCCCCTTTAATCTGCTTTTTATTATCTTTAAAACCACTATTTTAGCTCCCATCTTCTTCATGTCTAACCTGGACTGTTATAATGTCTAAATTTGTAACCTTGTTTTCAGATTTGATAACACTCTTACCCTGGATTATTTTATACATTGCTGGCAGTGCTTTTTCTAAATTCTGAATAGGATTAATTTACTTCCTTGCTTAATAAAATAAGAGCTTTTAACCCTGGAACAGACTGAATCTACTACAATCTGAATAAAACAGGAGCTCTTGTGGTGAAGTGGTTAAGAGCTTGGCTTTGAACCAGAAGGTGGGTAGATTGGACCCACCAGCGGCTCTGCAGGAGAATGAATGATGTGACAGTCTGCTTCCTTAAAGATTACAGCCTTGGACCCTCTATGGGGCAGTTGTATTTTGTCCTATAGCGTCCACATGAATCAAAATTAACTTTATGGAAGAGGGTTTTTTTATTGTTTTGTTTTGTTTTTTGGTTTAGCAGACTGAATGAAATCTTAACTTCTTTATAAGATATACAAAACTTTCCAGGTCATTTCACAGGACTCCCTCTTTTCATCCTATTCTTTAACCAATTCATACTTTCTGGTCTTTGAAAGTACATATTCCCTCTTACTTCCAATGATAACACTCAGGGGGCATGGAGGGGGGTGCAGACCACACTAGGTGTGACACCATCAGAAGGGATGTCACCAAAATGTCTAAAATTTTTGTGCCATGTTTCAGCAGAAATTCATTATTTTTTATAAAAACATCCCTATTGTTAGTTATAACAACAAAAACATTTTCCATAAACCCAGCATACATGTATCAGTATACCTACAAGGCTAAAACTCTATGCTGATTTACTTTTTGAACCTTCTAATTCTCTCCAATCAGAGCTGTCATTGTCACCCTATTACAGTGACTTCAAGTCATGTGGTTTCTTCTGCATGCACTGCAGGCACACACTATTGTTTTCATTGCTCCCAGTGAATTATAGTTGCTGATTTTGTCAAATTTTCTGGTGTTTTAGCTACAATATTGTGATTATTAGTATTTCTGAACCTATATCAATAACTTATTTGAAAATTAAGTAGTAATTACAGAAAAAGGAGAAAAATCAAGAAGACTTCCATTCAATTACTTGTTGTTGTTGTTGTTAAGTGCCGT